AAAAAATCGAAATAGAACATGTTAATATGAAAACAGGAGGAAATGGGAAGTAGAATAAGAAAGTATTGACACAGTTTTCACAAATCAAATCACGTTTGATGACTAACTAGATGTCTGCAGTATATATATTTAATTATGTTTGATTCTGATTGGATATACATTTATATATAATTAATGATCATCATTCATTTTCAACGAACTTTTTTCAATAATTTATCATTTTAAAACTGATTTCTTACGTTTAATTTTGACGTTTATCTCTAATCCAATCATTCCCACTACACATTAATGTCTCGAAAATATGAAAAACTTCGGAAACAAATTTTAATTTTACATGAATTACATCAAAATTGGTCGTCAAGTGATATTGCCAATGAATTAATGAACAGTGATTGCCCACCATCACAAACAAGACAAACCCTTATTCGTTATGTAAATTATACAATTAAAAGAGGTACTATTGAAGCAAGAAAAAGAACAGGAAGACCAAGAACGACCAGAACATCTATTTTTATATCGTTGGTTAAAGACCACATGGAAAATAAATTAGGACAATCAATTCGAAAAACAAATGATTTATTACAAAAAAACCATGTCAATTCTTCTTACAGCAGTGTTCGAAGAACATTAAAAGAAGATATTAAATTACAACCCTGGAAACTAACTCGTTCACAAAAAATTAGCCCAATACAACGGGAAGCACGTGTAATTAGTGCAAAAAAGTTATTAAAGAAATTCGGGTTGAATCCAACAAGATCAAATTCCAAGTGGAAACGCTTGGTGAATACCGACTTTAGTGGTCGTGTCAGTTTATTGCAGAAGCACAACAGTAAAAACAGCATCATTTGGTCTACAAGTAAAACAACGATTCCACTCGCATTACAAAGTGTTCATCAAGAAAAATGCAGTCCAGGTGTCTTATTGTATGGTGCAATTTCATCTCGTGGTTTAATTCCACCAACTGCACCAGTTTTTATTGATGACTGGTTGAACATAGAATGTCAAAAAATTAATAAAAAGAAACCTACCATGGATAGATTTTTATATGTTAAATTAGTAAAACAGCTGAAAATTCATATCGATCAATTATACGATGATGTCAATGTGATATGGCAAGATGATGGAGATTCTAAACATCGATCTCATTATGCTTTAGCAAAAATAAATGAAATTTTTGATAATCGTATCAATCCCGAAGAACAATCGGATAAAATGGCTGATGTATGGCCGATCAAAAACATTTGGAGCTTCATCAAGGAGAAACTGAAACGTGAAGAAATTCAGGATATATCGATATTGAAAAGAAAAATTGTGAAGATTTGGAGAACAATTACTCCAAAAATGTGTTCCGACTTGATTAATTCAATACCGAGAAGATTGCAATGTTTGATCAACAAAAAAGGTTTCCAAATCA